GAAAAAGTGAATCTGATCCGACATTTTTTGTGGCAGACATTGATGGGACATTCGGCAGGGGACTATTTTGGACTTTGCTATCGCGATCTTGGTCTTCTCCCTCGCCTCCATCTTCGTCTCGCCTCTCCCCCCATCTCTCATCCATGGTATCTCCTCCATGTGTGTGTGCAAGGAGGGAACTTTCTTCTGTGTATGCGGTCCTTCCTCCTTCTCTCACATGTGTGGTGTATGATGGGATGTCACCTCAGTATCAGATAGGTCCGATCATACCTTTGAGTCTTCCGCTGCGCTACATTGTGCTATTTTTGTATGTATCTAGATGTACATTGCTTGTTGATGCTTTGCTGACATTGCTTTGTCCATTCTAGTCCTTTTCGTCACTTTGTGGATCCTTGGCTCCATATACATTGCCCAACTGGGCGTGTATCAGTTGGTATTGGAGTAGATTGCTAGTGAATGAGGATAGACCTGACCTAGCCCTGACCTAGCACACAAAGAAGAGGACCGATCGATTGGTTGATTGATTGGTTGGTTGATTGATTGATTGATTGATTGAATAATTAGGTTACCCTAATTATTCCCCATTCGTGATTTCAACCTAACTGTCGATTCCATAAAAAAAAAATGTTTCTTCGGCGTTCTTTCTTTGGCGCAAATTCGTTTTTTGAGGGTTTCACGAATTCCAAAATTGCATAGCAACTTAAAATATCGATTTCATTTTGTTTTTTTTTTCTTCAAAGTTTCGGTTTTTGATAGGTCCGATGGAGACTCAGAGAGAAAGAGAGAGAGAGAGAGAGAGAGAGAGAGAGAGAGAGAGAGAGAGAGAGAGAGATTTATCAGATACTTGCGCTGGCTGCGTTGTTCGAGAAGCAGGCGCGGGCTTTCACTAGGACGGGAGGCCATATGGCCTACGCCCGTAACATGAGAGCCTATAGCCGGGCAGGCAGAGACGGTTAGAAAATTGCTTCACTTCAGCTTGTTATACTTTTATTTTGTTACCCTCGCAGCCTCGGAACTTCACAGCCTCGTAGCCTCGTAGGTATCTTATTGTGATTGGTTGTTGCCACTTGTTCGAACTCTTGGGAGTCTTGGGAGTATTGTCTGAGAGAGAGAGAGATTTATCAGATACTTGCACTGGCTGCGTTGTTCGAGAAGCAGGCCCGGGCTATCACTAGGATGGGAGGCCATATGGCCTAGGCCCGTAGCATGAGAGCCTATAGCCGGGCAGGCAGAGGCCGTTCAGAAAATTGCTTCACTTCAGCTTGTTGTACTTTTATTTTGTT